TTGGTAAATAATTCTTATTAGTTCATATTAGTTTATTGTCAAAATTATTGATGTTATAAACAACAAGAATAATTATAATAGTTCATTGACATTTATAAATAGTTATAATAATTATAATTTTTATGCATGAACAAATTATGCATGAACTATTTGTGAACTGTTTGCCAATGTATTACTTTGAACTTTTATGAACTTTTAATATTGGCATTCATAATAGTTATAATAATTAAGACTAATTATAATAGTTTAAATTTTTTGTATTTGTTCTGCGACGGTAGCACATCGTCTGTGAGAATCATCTGCGAGACTATTTGCGTAGTCGCAAAGTGTTACCATGGTTACCAACTTTTTCTTTACCGTTGTTGTTGTTAAAAATAATAAGAAAATGGTTGTTCTAAAGATTTGAAGTGGTGTTTTAATTGTTTATTCGGACTACATTTTTTATATATTGGTGCATCGTTCTGAGAAATTGTATGTCCCACTTGGTGTAAAATTGATATCTCGTTTCGTAAATTGTTGGAACACTTCGAAGGTGGAGCAAGTAATAGTATTTAGTTTAGATAATTTGTTAGTAATAGTTTGTTTGAGTTTCGAAGAATTTAAGTAAAACTGCATTGTGTAGTAGTTGTTTGTTTACGGTTTGTTCGGCAATATAGAATTGTTTTGTTATACTATTGTTATTATAATGGCTAAAGAGTTAGACTTAAGAAGCAACGTCCCTATCATAGAAGACAGGTAACGAAATTAATATCAAAATAGAAAATCAGATGTCTGAACCACATATAGAATATAGATGAATTAGAAAGCCTTTTAAGCCTTTTAGTTTAGTTACAAATCAAAGACGAGCAGCTCAAATCTATTGATAATAAAATCGAAGATCTTTTAGATGATGCAGAAATGCAATCGGAAATAGAGAGTATTGATGAATGTAATTAAGTAATTATATTTAACTCGATAAAACTAAAAAATAAAGTAAAATTGTTGCAATCTCATCTGTACAAGTACCCGCATGTGTGCAACCCATAACAAACCACATGCGGTAAGGCCAAATACAAACGCAAGTAGACCAAATACAAGCGCGAAGTTACCTGAACTGAAAGTTCATACGTATTTACGGAGACTCATCTGAGTATTTAAATTTCTAGAATCAATCCAAAATTTCTATTGTCAAAAACCCTTCCCTTTCAGATGTCGAAAAATGTTCTTATTTGTTTAGTTGCCTCGGAGGCGAAGCTCTTTCTTGTATTAAAGGTTTCGCTATTACCTCAGACAACTGTAAGTCGGCTCTTAAATTAATCCAAGATACCTTTGGCCAGAAAGATGAGTTAATCAATGCCCATATGTCTAAGCTGTTGAATATGACACCGTTAAAGAACATTTCTAATTTACAACAGTTGAGAAACCTGTATTTTAAGTGCCAAACCCAAATTCGTTCTCTTGACAGTTTAGGTATAAAATCAGCAGATTATCGCGTAATGCTTTGCGCTGTAATTTTAAAACTTTTTTTCAGCGACTTCGTTTTGGAATTCACCAAAAATCAAATCTCGAGCACTAATCATAATTTGAAGGAGTTGATGAATTTTTTACATCTGTGAAGATACAGCTACTAGCACCCCCGCGGGCACAGGTGTTGGATTATAACTTCCTGTTTGTTCGCGGACGAAATGGACCATACCTGCAAAAAGCAGGACTGCAGAAAAAACTCCCTGGGAGGAGTTTCCGGACACAAGGAACTATTTATGTTTCTCTTCGCAGATAACAAAACGAGTGAAATCTTTGTGTAAGAGATCTTCATGTGATTTTGAGGTGACAGGACAGGATTTTGCGTTCTAAACCACGCCAGTGGTTTCTGTAGAACAATAGTTATTTTTATGCTGTAACTACAGTAAAAAGGACGTTTTTTTGCGTCCAATCTGCGTTAGCGGATATTGTATGATTTAGGGCTGTAATGATCAGTTTATTTTTATGTTTTAATCAAGAAATCTATTTTAGTTTATCAAATAAATAATTTAAAAGACAACCTGTCTTTCTTTCACCCGACACGGGTGTACTGACGTTACAGCTATAACAAATGGTGGCAGCGGTGAGATGAGAAAATCCATGCAGAAATTACAGACCGTCAGGTTCTAAAAATTCATCTCAAGATTGTGGGACAGTCATTGTCCGGATATCAACAGTGTTTTGCAGATATTACAGACCGTCAGGTTCTGAAGTGCAGCACGAAAAGTTACGAACATCAGTTCGAAAAAGTGATTACAGCTCTCCGAAGCGACGAGATAAGAAAATCCATGCAGAGATTGCAGACCGTCCGAGTCTGAAATTCATCTCGAGTTTGTAGGACAGCCATTGTCCGAACATCATCAAGTGTTTGCAGATAGTACAGACCGCCAGGCTCTGAAGTGGCAGCACGAATTTACGAACATCCGTTCGAAAAGTGATTTACAGCTATTCGAAGTGGGGAATAGAATCCACGAAGAAGTTACGGACATCAGTCCAGAAAAAGAGGAATGACAGTCTCCTGAAATAAGCTCATCTTTAAGCGCGGTGATAAAGGTGTTACTTGTGCGATCATCTTTGTGTTCGAGAAAATTAGTACCGCAGTGAAGCGTGTGGGACAATCATTGTCCGAAGATCATCAGATTCATTGTGATGTGTAGGGTATTGAAAAAGTGATATGTGGGTGATCACCTTTTGTGATCGAAAAATTTAGATCATCAGATCTTGTGTGTGCGTTATAGGTGCCTGGATCATCAGTGTCCATAAAATCTTAAATTGGGAGAAGCGAAGTCTCCCAATCCAGACGGGGTAAGTACCTTGGATTTTTATATTGAGGCAGTAAAGTAATTTAATTTATTTCTGTAAATCAGTATGTAAGTTCACATAACTGTTTTAAGTCAACTTGTTCCTGTAAAGCTTAAAGAAATGTGCTTTTTGGGTTTTATGTTACAATAAGAAAGTATAAAATTTAGAATTTAAACCTGTGTTAATAGATTTTTTTTTAATATCTGAAATATTAATGTGTTGTGCTTAAATTAAACTTATATATTGGATTGTGTAAAGGAGTAAAATTACTGTAACTTGAAGGTTTTATTGTTAGGTGGCATTCTGACATATCATTTCTAAGACGTTTTGAATGTTATAAATATTAGAATTTCAGTTAAGGTGTGTCAAACTTTTATTTGTGTAAGAACTGATATTTTTTTTTTTTTTTCTATTGAAGGAGTAAAAGGGGAATGATAAAACCCTTAGTATCTTTCCTTTTAACTGTTGTCATGTTAATGTTAATTACTAGCATATGGATAGGTATTGTGTAATTTATTGTATTTCTGAATGCATATTTTAACATATCCCAAAATTTGAGGAAAGTATATTGAATTATCATAAGAAAGTGTGTTTTACGCAACTGAATTTAAAGCTTTTCAGAGGATAATATTATTTGTAGTTTCATACGTCCTCAAGTAGACAATTTTCGTTTTTATTTTGAATGCAATGTGCATATTATAGTGTAAACTGTCTTGTTTTTGTCTAACATCTGTAAAATAGGTTGTGAAAAAAATTATAAAAGTTTAATTTTTACTCTCTCTTGTGAAAATGATATCTGTTTAAATCAATTGTATGTATCTGTAGTGTGAGGGAGCTATAATTATTAGGATCATAATTTTGGTTATATCATGGCATTCTTAGCAAAAGTTAGGAAAGAGGATCTTAAATCCTTGGCTGAAGAGTTAGGGGAAAAAGTTAGCCCTGAACTTAGGATATTGGATTTAAGGCAGCTGATTATGGGAAATGAATCCTATGAGGAGGAACTAGTGAAAGGCCTGTTAGAAAATATCACTTCAACGAGGCTTGAGAGAGAAAAAAAGGAGCAGGAGAGAATTAGGAAGGAAGAAGAAGAGAGGCAGGATAGAATTAGAAGAGAAGAAATGGAATTTGAATTATCCAAGTTACGTTTACTAGCCGATAACGGAAATGACTCTGGAAATGGTGGGAATGAAGAAAATAGACTAAAAAAAAGCCGATACGATCTAAAAAATGATGCCAAAATTTGATCCTGAAGAGAACGATATCAGTTTGTATCTAGTCATGTTTGAGCGCCAAGCAAAGCGTGCGAATCTTCACCAATCAGAATGGGTTTCGGTTTTATTGACAATTTTGCCAACTAACATAGTTCAGCTGATTATGCGAGAACCAGAACAGCAGGCTTATGATTACGCTTATATAAAAAGGATACTGCTTAAAAGGGTCAAACTTAGTCCAGAAAAATTTCGCATCAAATTCGTGCAATCTCAGAAACACCCCCAAACCACTTGGAGAGATTTTGCCTTTGAATTAAGGAATTACTTTGAAGAATGGATTGCAGGTTTGGAAGTTACGGATTTTGAACTTTTAAAGGAGCTCATGATAACGGACCAAATGAAGCGTCGTGTAAATGCATTTTAGGCAACATTTTATTGACGAATGGTCGAAGATAACGACTCCAGAGAAATTAGCGGAAATGCTGGAAGAATATGAAAATGTGCGTGAACCCCGGAAGAAGATCTCTCCTGTTCATAGTTAGGAGTCACAAAGGGGAAATATAAATAATTTAAATTCGAGGGATCCGAAAAAATATCACCAGTCTGGAGGAGAAGATAGATATGCCTCTGACAGAAAGGAACATCTCCGGAATCAGGATGAGCGTCAATTTGATATGAGGAGACCAATTAAGTGTTATTCTTGTTGTTCAACCCAACACTTAAGGCTCGTTTCCACTACTGCGTACGAACGCGTTGCGTCAATTGAAGACACGCCTACGGCATACGTACAAGCGTTTCCACTGCTGCGTCCGTAAAATATTTTCATTTACCGCCGCTAGGTGTCACTGTAATATTTTGGCGCCAAACAACCTGTTCGCGAGAGTACGCTGAACATCTGATCTTTTCCCGCTAAGCGATTGCTGTTTGTTTTGAATTTGATATGGATCCTGACGTAAAACGCAGAAAAGTTTTGTTTTCTTTTACTATCAAAGAAACGGGAAGCAAAACGGAGCGGTTCTGAAAGGAAATGGTGGGTTAGACCGATTTACCTAAATCGACAAGACCAAGGGGCGCAACAAAATCTGATAAACGAAATGCGACTGCAGGATACTGAGTCATTTTTTAATTTCTTCCGGATGACTCCGCAAAAATTTGATGAATTGTTATCAGTTGTTGGTCCACGAATTACAATGAAGGCCACTTCATTCAGGAATCCCATCTCTGCACAAGAAAGATTAGCTATTACCATAAGGTAAGTAGAGTTCACTATTTAAAATTCATTTTTTAATTCTATTTTCCATAGCATATTTCGTCATTTATTTTAATATTTATAAAAAAAACTATTTTATAATGCAATGTATAAATCTATTTAATTAATTAGTTACTTTCATTTTTTTTAAATCTGCATGCTATTAATTATTGTATATATTTAGTGACAGTAATAAAAATAAAAAGAAGCTAGTAAAGTAATCTGTTTAATTCCTTGGTTGAAATGATTTACAATAAAGATATTCTGTATGATAAATAGCAAACATATAATACATAAGTAGAATTAACCTAATTAAATTTATTGGAAAGGCAGCATCTTTTATTTTTATGTTTGAAAGATAATAATTGTATATCTTTCTCTTTGACATTTCAAGTGTATATTATTTTCCAGATTCTTGGCGAGTGGTGATTCCATGACCAATATCTCTTACCTGTTTCGTGTTGGGAAACCAACAGTTTCAAAAATCGTTAGACAGGTGTGTGATGCTATATGGGTTAACTTGTCTCCAGTGGTATTAAAACCACCTACAACAGAAAAGTGGAGGAAAATAGCTACTATTATAAACAATGAGTGGGAATTTCCAAACTGCATTGGAGCTGTTGATGGGAAACATATAGTAATGCAGGTAAATTTTTCATTTATAGTGCTGATTGATTTTTTTAAACCAATAAGATTATATGTATGAATTAGAAACTCAATTGTCCTTCTGTCTTTTATCTATGAATTTTTATAACCCAATAATCCACAGAAATAGTATGAATCTCACAAAAAGTAAAAAAAAAAAAAAAATTCTTTAAAATACATCATTTATTCTATGAGCAAAAATGTTTGGAATAAAACCTAAATATTGTGTGAAAGAATATAATACTGTGCTGTCATGTAAATCTAAGTAGGTATAATTAAAAATTGACGTGCAATTTCATTAATTATAGGATGTAATATTTCTTATATTATTTCTTTGGATCGTTATTTAATTCTTTTGGCTCTAATATTTGGTGACAATAGTTTAAAAAGGGAAACGACATGTATAGTGAACCAACGCAGAATGCCAGAACGAAATTAAGCCCTTCTGGGCTAATAAATAAATAAAATAAAAGAGGAGAAGTCAAACATTCATAAATCAAAAAATTTTTTAAACATTGTATCATCATTAAATTTGTTTACATTACATCATTTGTTAAACATAACATTTACATCATTAGCTGATTTAGAATCACTTGTTAATTTCATGTCCTGTAGTTCATGTTCATAGCAGCCCTAAATTGTTTGCAGACAATGTTTATAAAATACATCATTTTGTTACACCACTGGCTAAGTTTTGGCAATTATTAGGTGAATTAAACTCTTTCCACATGTGCTTTTTAGGAATGCTACCAAAAATTTTACTTGGGGTAAATGGAGAGATAATCCATAATTAGAGTTTAAATATTAAGACTAAATGAAAAAAAGTAAACTTTCTTTTTTTAAAGTCTAACAAAAAATCCTGATTGTTCTTCACTTTGATCTACCTTTTGCCTGCCTCCTTAAAGCCACTTCTGATAACATTAAATAAATTCGATATCAATTATGTTGAGACTTGACACTGTACCGGATATATTTAAAATATTAACTTTTTAACAGTAAACTAGCTAAGTAGCTTATTTTATTTAAGTTTTGATTCCAAATATTTTATCTATGCTATACTAAAACTGTACCTTCATTGTCAACTGCCTATTTCTGGTGGTAGTAGGAAATGTTTTTATTTATTTACATATTTATTGCATTCATGATTCCAAAGCTGATAGATAATTAGAGTTGAACTGTAAATATAATTTTAAAAGTTAGATACTGTTAAACATCTGCTAAATGTTAAAATTAATTCATAACTTTCTTGTTGGGAATTTTATGGTGTAATTAAAACTATAAACCATTTCTGGGAAAAGTCATGTCTAGTGAAAAATACTACTGAATAAATAAAGTTCAATGTTTCAGTAAACTGTTAATACTTTTAAATAATTTCAAAAATATATTCTGGGTTAGTTTGATTTTAAATATGTCCTGATTTGGACCCTAAAAATTATGGTAAGCCTACATGTGAAATACTTTTGTGTAAAAAAAATTCTGTATTAATAAGTTAGTATCATAGTAATGTCACTAAAACATTATCAAATATATTATTTTGTACTTTAAAAAAATGGAAGTTTTTATATATTTATACACTTTTTATAATTGCTATCAGTTTTATGAATTATCTAGATATTTGAATTATGAATTATCTATTAGATTTTTGGATATTTGTTCTATACGTGAAGCATATAATGTAATAACAGGTATCTCTTAAGTCTTTATCTAATTTCAAAATGTTGCACTGACTTAAAAAAATACAAATTTATTGGAAAATGCAAAATGATTGTAGTTACACCATGTTTAATGTGACCTGTGGCTGCTTGGCACAAATGAATATTTCCAACCTGTAACATTATCAAACTGGATGAAGACTTTAGGGACACCCTGTACTTATAATGAGGCATGCCTCTGGCATATTTTGTTCAAAATTTAGAGTTGCTTTTAAAGGTATATGCAGTTTAAAGGTTTTAGTCTTAGAAATTTTTTTAGATAATTTTCTTTTTCAATATTTATTTTTTTTTAATAACTATCAACTGGCTCTACATATGTTTTATATTACAGGCTCCTAATTCTTCGGGGTCTGCGTTCTTTAACTATAAAGGTTCCTTCAGCATTGTTCTGCTTGCTGCATGCGATGGAAAATACTGTTTTACTATTGTCGACATTGGCGGTTCTGGTAGGCAGAGTGATGGTGGGATTTTTCATTCCTCAACTTTTGGTCAGGCTCTTAAGGAATCACTGAACATACCAAAGCCGGAAGCAGTATGCCCTGGCAAATATTTGCCTTATGTTTTTGTGGCTGATGAGGCATTTCCTTTGAAGAAAAATTTAATGCGACCATTTCCTGGTCGCAACCTTGATACACCCAAAAAAATTTATAATTATAGACTGTCTCGCTGCAGAAGATTAATTGAAAATACGTTTGGAATTTTTGCTTCACGTTTCCGGATTTTCCGAAAACCAATCATTGGTAAAACAGAAACTGTGGAAAGTATTGCAAAGGCTGCAGTTTGTCTTCACAATTATTTGAAAATATGTGATGACATGTTGCCAATTGCAAAAAGAAAATATTGTCCATTTGGTTTTGCTGATTTTGAAGATCATGAAGGGACTTTTCATGATGGACAATGGAGATCATATGGTACAGGTAACATGTATGCCAAAGAACCATTTGACAGATGGCGCAAAAACCAAAGATGATTATGGCCAGAAGACCAGCTCTTATTAATAAAAAATTTTCAACATGTATGGTAAAACCACCAAAGAACACATTAAAATACAATACACAATCTGCTGAACAGATAACATTAAGTAATAAAAACCAGTCTCTTTTATAATAATAAAATCAGAGAAGAATTTAAAGAATTCTTTTGTGGTGTTGGTGCTGTTCCTTGGCAGATGAAGCAAATTCTCTGCTACCAATTAATTTGAAAATTTTTATCTAGTGCATGTACAGTCATAATTTCAGTTTGTATTGTTAATAATGCCTATTTGGTGCAGATATTTTTTTAAGTATAATTCACTCCATAATATGTATCTAGAAATGTGTAATATATGTATTTTAATGTGTATGAAAAAAATAAAATTGTATAATAGTATGCAAGTTATAGAAGAAAATCTAGTTGTATAAATTTAATTTGCACATGTACAGCCACCACAAACAATTTCTATTTCATGTGTTCTGATTGTTACACTTGTTTGGAATATTGATAATTAAATTTATGATGAATAAATATATTCAGTTAATTATATATTAATTGCTTGCTTTATTATCCCGGGTTTGTATTCATTGCAGTTAATTATTATCCCAGCAGGCGGGACTGGTCATGTGTTTTCTCTATTATCTAGTAGACATTGGCTTGTGGATTAATAATGTATAAAGAATGATAGTTGCGTTGAAAAAAGTAAAAAAATGGCGATGCTGTCAGATAGCGAAAGCAATAATCTTTCAGATAGTGATAATAACCTCAAGGCATTTTCCAGATGTTGTTCCTGTGTATAGAATGTCAGGTATGACTTTGTGTTATCCCTCGTTTCAAAAACTATCATACCATGACTAATATTTAATTTTTTTTATTTGCCCGAGATAACTCAGGATAGTAAACTAATATTAAAACTAAATGCTTTTACACCTTTAAAATTCAACCTAAAATCTATATATTTTTTGCTTCGTTTCCTTGCATTTAATAATAAAATAAAACAAATGATGATTTTTTGCAATTTAAAAAAAAAATTGTAAGGGAAGCAGTTAAGGTAAATAAAATTTCATAGAAAAAATTAATATGTCACATTTATGTCAAAATCCTTATTTATACACAAGAAGTTATGTATTCATATTGAAAAAAAATTTATTTTTTGAAAATTTACGCATAATGCAAAATATATACAGCCTTCATTTTAGCGAAATAAAATTTTTGAGATATCTTCCATTGCCTTTTTTCTTTTTTCTTCATCAAAAGATCTCAAAACGCATGCACCATACATCATAAAGTGATGTATAGCGTCCTTTGGAGTTGTCTCCTCCTCCAGTAGCTTGCACAATGCAGCGTCCACGTTATCCCTCTTTTTTTTTTTAGAATATATTCCTCCTTAAATGCAAAAGCAGCCTTAAAATTGACAGAGTAAATACATTGTGATTATGAAGATAAAAAAATTTAAATGCTTAATAAGGACAATAAGCCAAAAAATACATAATTTTAATACCTTTAAAGTCATAAGATTAACTAACTTTAATACCTTTAAAGTCATAAGATAACAAATGTATTGCAATGTGATAAGCATATTATATTAGGCAGTAATCTGAATCTAAACGATATTTGTGCCACCTGACTATGCAAAGTGTGAAGCAAGATAAATATTTAATAATTACAGTTGCAAAGAATATTTAACATTTTAAATGTATAATGTTATTAAATAAATAAATACATATGCATGCACACACCAATATATATATATATATATATAATTTATTTCCTAAACCGTATTGATTAATTGATTATATTATCTCCTAAGTTTAATTAAAGTAGAATTATTTTAAAAGTGTGCATCCATACTGGTAAGTTATATTTTGAAAGATGTTTTGAAGTAATTTGAAAGCAAAATGTTAATAATGTTTTAACGGGGATATATATATATATATGTAATATTTTGATGATGAAGAAACCAATTAATTGTTCAGAGCTGGTGTTAGCTTTTAAAGAATAAAGAAGCATAAAATCACTAAACAGTCCAACATCTGTTTATTATTTTCCAAATTTAGCATGTTGAGATTTGTAGCATTTTGGGTTGTAATTCACAGCCCAACAAATTTTAAATTATGCAGATTACAATTATTTACAATTAATAAACAATTATTTACAAAGGATGAGAGCAGCAAGTGAAGCAATACAGCTGCAAGCAAAAAAGCAAAATAAAATTAAAAAAAAAAAAAAAAAAAAAAAAAAAAAGAGGAATATGCAGTTCATAATGATGATATTTAAACAAGAATTTAACTTAACCATACTGGCTGAGAATTACTGCACAATGATATGATTACATCTGCGGGATTAATATTCAGATGATGCACTATTATTTTTAAGATGGGGAAAGGACATATCCAAATTACAAATAGAAATGTATAGGGCTATTGTCATTATTATTTAAAGTAATATTACCTTGTGGAGTTGAGGTACTTGACTCCCCATAAACAGGGAAATCGGTGTGGCTGACGTACTGCCCTCCTCAATAATAGTAACTTGGCTGCCGATTCTGAAGCCTTCATCTTCATTACTATCATTTTCATTATTTTCCAGGGAGACATTTAGTTCATCATTTGTTGCCTCCTCTAGTAACGGAATATTTGATATTGATCTGGAATACAATGAATGCAATGTGTATCTATCTCTCTCTATATATAAACATATAAAAAGGTAATAAACATTTCTGTTTAAAACTGCCAAAGAGTTCTCGACTTTTGCAGATAATTAGAAAGTATCTTAAAAGATTATATGAAAATATCATACTTGAAATAACAAGTTTATAAGTGATAAAACTGTGAAATAAGTGATAACATTTCATGACAAGATGAAAGCTGTCATGCTGCTTAAAGGCTTAAAATAAACTCATAACAAATTTCAATACTTAACAACATTATTAACACGTTGACTGCCACCGCACGTTTTGGATTCCAGTCCGAGAAGCCAAATCGATTTAATCATATAATATTAAAAATGCTAATTATTATTCTTTTGTTAGACAAAGCTATTCGCAGAAGCCCACTACGAGTTAATTCATCCAGACAATCGAAATAGGGTAAAATAAATTGGTAGCTCTTTGTAGTGAAGATTGTTTTAAAATTTATCACAAGCAATAAATATATTCTTTTTTTAACTAATAAATAAACATTGAATGTATATTTTTGGTTTATTTTCAATAAAATTTTTATTATTATAAGCCAAACTTTGACTGTTTATTTTCTTCCAGGATGCCAATAAAATTTTTGTTCTTATAAGCCAAACTTTGATTATTTATTTTCTTCCAAGAGGCCATCCATTCATATTTAGACTTATAAACTAAGAACTAACTAGTGGCGGCGCAAAAGTAGCAAGTCCAGGAACTACGAGATAACTCGTACTGGGCATTCTGAAGAAGGGCACTAATACAAGTTATCTTGTGTTAGGTAGTCAACGTGTTAATGATTAAAAGACATATTAACTTTCTTGATACTCATAAATATAGAAAGATTGAAAAGTCATGCCTATCACGTAAATGTATTATCGTAAATTAGACTGCAGTTGTAGTAAGTATATTATCTATCGCTGTATGGTACTGAAAGAGTTCTTACAATGTATACACATGCCATGACATTTTATATTTGCTACATTTCTTTAAAAATAATATGTGATAACATTTGGTGAGAGCATCCATTTATTTTATTTGCTATACTGTTTCTTTAAAAATAATACATGGCGATAACATTTGATGGCAAAGTGGTTCAATACAAATTTCTCTGATTTCTAAAATAAAGATTAAAATTTTTATCAGAAGTTTAAAAAAAATATTAATTGTAGATGTGCTTAATTTTTAAAAAAATCATATCTGTTTAAATTTTGATGTATATATTACAAATAATGATTAAGAGCATTTTTGAAAATGTAATGAACTGTGGAATATTGATTATCATAAAGTTTGCTGTTAAATATAGGTCCCATACAGCAATTTTAGAAAAAAATTCAAATAAAACTGGATTACTTTAAAAACAGCATATGTAGAAATAACCAAATATATTTCCAATAAAATAATGTTCTTACTTCCTTGGTAATGTATATGGGAGCAAAAAGCTCATCATGTCGGCATACTTCCAAGGGCGCTGAAACTGTGCCGCACTGCCACTCGGTAGTTTTTTCCGGCGCCTTACGTAGGTGTCTCTTAAGAGACGCCACTTTGCTTGGCATTCTGCCTCTAATAATATTAAAATTGGTAAATGAGACATATAATAAAGCAAATAAATCTGGTCATATAAAAACAAACTAACATGCTACAATGCTGATAAAAGAAACAGAAGTATGCTACATGACTGTGTTAATGATAGAATAACAGCTAATATAAAATATATCCACAAATTTATTTTCAATTATTATTTTGGAGAAGATATGGTTATTACAAAAAAATATGAGGCAGCAATTTTTTAAGTTGGTGAATTTCATATTTCTCATTTTCCTCTTGACTGCTTTAACTAGCATTGAAACTGTGCAGTATTAAAACAGCTTGCAAAGTAACACAATATGAAAACGATTCCTAAAATTAATTTATTATCAATGAAATTCTTGTTTTTTAAGCATTTTATGTTAGTGACTTATAATTAAAACACCATTTTATGTTAATGATTTATGATTAAAAACATTTATTGATCTAGGGAAAATTGGGACAGTGCTTTAAATATGTTAGTCCAGATACTGGTATTTTTAACATCCTATAAAGATAACTAGATTACATGAAGTAACTGAAAAGTGTCAGCTAATTGAATTTCATTAACTTTTAGAAAGAGTTGTAAATGTTAAAGGTAATGAGGAGAAATTTTTTACTCGCTAAAAGAATACCTTTGCTTTTGTGTACTATAACATGAATATGTATAATAAAACGTTTTCGCTACGCTTTCATTGCAGTTATACTTCGTTTGATTAAAGATGCAGTATTTATATTTATTGTTAAATTATCATTTCTGTGCGAATAAAGCGATACACTTTATATTTTAATTATGTAGTTTAACATACCAGTAATGCACAAAAAAACAATATTCAGAAAAATATCACTTACCGCTAATATTTAAAGTACGGCTGATTTCCCGCCACGCATTTCTTCTGATATATGTATCTTTGTATTTGGAACTTGTCACATCGTACAACACTGGATGTCGCTGAACTTCATCTATAAGCATTTCATTCACATCCATTGCATTCTCCAATTTTTTTTTTTTTTTTTTTTTTTTTTTTTTTTTTTTTTTGTTGTTGTTGAAAACAAGCATTGTCGAAATCGTTGATTCCATTGGCTTCTTTATGGCACGTGACCCCTCCGTATTGCGGAGATGACGGATAGAAGTTGAACATTGTTGAACTCCATCCGTATGTCATCCGTCACCGCACACCGACCGGATTGCAGATGTCAATCAAAGTGAATTCGCTCGCTGATTGGAGAAACGCATACGCACCGCAACGCATACGCAGTAGTGGAAACGGGCCTTTAAGGCCTCAATGTCCGGAAATTAAAAGGGATCTCAAAACTCCGTTTATTGTAAATAGAGTCCAGGAGATTGAAGAAGATTGTTTAGCCCCGTATCTAACGATGGCTAAAGTGAACGGTTTGATCTAGTGATGGGCAACTTCGGTACTTTCTTGTACCCGGTACGAGAGTAACGGGTACAGACAAGTACCCGGTACAAAATACCCGTTACTCAAGTAACCATTACTTTGAAAAGTACCGAAAACCGATTTCAAGTACCGAGTACCCAAGTAACGATTTGGAGTACCGAAGTAACGAAATACCGGAGTAACGGTTTGCTGTACCGGAGTACTCTAGTAACGGTTTGCTGTACCGGAGTACCATAGTAACGGTTTGCTATACCGGAGCACCCTAGTAACGATTTGGAGAACCAAAGTACCCTAGTAACGATTTGGAGTACCGAAGTGCCCTAGTAACGACTCGGAGTACCGAAATATGCAGCTAACGATTTTGCGCACTGAAGGAACTCTGCCACGTCACCACGTGTTTGATTTTATCTGTACGGAGTAAGATTTTGAATATCAGAAAACATGTCAACTACGTAAGTGTCTAAGGAGCAGGCCATTCATGGACACAAAGAGCGCATATCATCATTTCGCAAATACAACCAGATACTACTGTCCTCGTACCAAAACTGAAGTGAGCTGAACCCTCATCGATCCTCCAGTAACGAATACCGAAATACCGAGAAGAGACATATATTTTCGTTACAAAGTAGCGAATACCGAAAAGCACCCGTTTCGGTACAGGAGTAACGAATACCGAAAAGTACCCGTTTCGGTACAGAAGTAAGGAATACCGAAAAGTACCCGTTTCGGTACAGAAGTAACGAATACCGAAAAGTACCGATTTCGGTACTGAAGTAACGGGTACTTACTTGGATGTACCGATTTTCAGTACCCGTTACAACTAAGTGCCCGTTACAAAATACCCGGTTCGGTAGTACCGACTCATCACTAGTTTGATCTGCCAGTTTTGAGAGATACCGGGTCATGCATTGACGTAATTTGCAAGAAATATTTCACTCCTTCGATGCTGACGGGCGAGACTGTTTGGGTCAAACACCCGTTTGATGAGGCCCCAATTTGTGTACCCTTAGCAAACGTTACAATAGAAGGAAATTTTGGCCAAGTAACAACAAAAGCAGCTGTCACTCGAAATGAATTGGAACATTATCTGTTAGGAAACAGAATCGCCGAAAAATTAGCCGTAGATCAACACGATAAACTTTTCTTTCAGGTGAAAACAGGTATTCGAGCTCCGAGTCAATCAAAGAATGAAATGGGGAAAAGTTGTCCACTGGAGTCTGAACGCGGCGAACTCGAACCCTCAATTGAAGTTTCTCCCCTCATTATAGAAAGGGGTGAAGTCTTGTCTCAAACAAAAAGGATGGAGAAAACCAATTTCTCTCTGCCTGAAACGAAAGTGAATAAACTGTCACTGCCTACAATAAAATATTCTTTTGTAGTGGACATACAAACGAAAAGTGACGTTGTAAACTCTTCTTGTGACTGGGTCACGTTAAACGATCACAGTAACTCTTTGGAAAATGTGTACAAGTTAAGAATTTCCTTTTCGGTTCAGCACGAACAAGAAACTGTAGATATGCCAAATGATGTTTCAAACCAACCAGACTCGGAAGGTTTGCAAATCCCTAAAAATTCCGTAGGAGAATTGCCCAAGACACCAAGAAGTTTAAATTTACGAAGGAAAGTAGAAGAATCAACAGTTTATCATTTATCTATACTGAAGGGTCAAAGTGGATTAAATATAGCTACTTCTTGAATAATGTAAATCCAATTTGTAATGAAGTAGAAGTTTTTTTCTGGATGTTAAAGCCAAATTAAATGTACATGTTTATATTGAGGTCAAATGTAGTAGTTCTCATTCAGGTGTTGGGTTACTATTGAGAGTTTATCACAAACGGAAAATTAAAAATCTACAAGGTCTCCCTTTTCAGCCTGGCTAGATATATAATTAATATTAAACTTAGGAATGTATGTTGTATATTCCATTTTCAGAAAACTATACGTTCTTTATTTGTATGTGTATAATTTAGTTGTTGTAAAATGTATTAATGCTAATAACTGCTAATTAGTTTACTTTGAAAACTTGCTGTGGTAGCTACCGGGAATTGGAGTTCTGAAAACCCCCGCCCCCCGGGGAGAAAAGGGGTTGTGACGATACAGCTACTAGCACCCCGCGGGCACAGGTGCTGGATTATAACTTCCTGTTTGTTCGCGGACGAAATGGACCATACCTGCAAAAAGCAGGACTGCAGAAAAAAACCCCTGGGAGGAGTTTCCGGACACAAGGAACTAATTATGTTTCTCTTCGCAGATAACAAAACGAGTGAAATCTTTGTGTAAGAGATCTTCATGTGATTTTGAGGTGACAGGACAGGATTTTGCATTCTAAACCACGCCAGTGGTTTCTGTAGAACAATAGTTATTTTTATGCTGTAACTACAGTAAAAAGGACGTTTTTTTGCGTCCAATCTGCGTTAGCGGATATTGAATGATTTAGGGCTGTAATGATCAGTTTATTTTTATGTTTTAATCAAGAAATCTATTTTAGTTTATCAAATAAATAATTTAAAAGACAACCTGTCTTTCTTTCACCCGACACGGGTGTACTGACGTTACACATCGTTCCATTACTGCAAGGGAGAGAACTTTTCATATTTCCACTCCTTTTTCGCACAAACACGTAGCCAGTATAAACAATAGTAAAAGAAAGGGAGAAGCTTTTACAAGCAAAAAGATGTTTATTGTGTTGTAATATAAATTGCTGTGTAAAGGCTTGCAAAGGGGCAAACTGCTCCTTTTGCAAAGGTAAAAATGCCCGCGCCATATGCTTTAAATTAGAAAATTCTAACAAAGAAAGGATTGAACATGGTTCGAAAATAAAATCTAATGAAAAAGTTGCTACTTCATCGAATTATATGGTGAATAGCAGAAGAGGAATTTTGTTGCAATGTAAAGGATGAAATTGTTGGAAAAGAGTCGTCAGTTTTTATTTTTTGTTTATTTGATAATGGATCTCAGCGCACATTTGTAAAGAAAGAAGTTTCTGAAAGGTTGGGATTAAAGGTTGTTGTTTCAGGAAAATTGAATATTTATAGCTTTGGCGCAAAGACTACGAAAGAGCAGATTTGCCGATGGGTGGAATTGAAATTGAGAAAGATTTTGAATGGAAGTGGAGTGTTTATTGAAGCATTAGAAATTGATAAAATATCGAAAGCTGCAATAAATGTTCCAGATCGAGGGACTTGTGCAGAAATGAAGTCAAGAAGATTTCCCTTAACATTTGATTTTAAAGAGTTATCTAGCAATTGTGAAATTTCATTGCTGATAGGAGCAGATTATTACTGGAATTTGATAAAGAGATTTGAGCGGTTGAACACGTCATTATTAGCTATAGAAACTGCCTTTGGATGGTCACTCCAAGGAAAATACGATGATTTAGTAATTCCACGTCGATTAAATTCATTCTCAATGAAAGAGATTTGGTCTCCGCTGAGCTAAGGCGCTTTTGGGAATTGGAGAGTTTGGGCATTAGAAGTGACGAAACAGATATTTCCGGTGCCGAAGAAAGGGAAATTCTGAAGGAGTTTAACGAATCGATTCAGTTTATAAATGGCAGGTACTGTGTGAAGTTCTTGTTGATAGCAAGTATGCGGGAGAAACTGGGAAGTAATAGGGAGGTCGCATTGAAGCGTTTTAATGGTTTAGTTTCGGAGGTTCAAGAGAGATCTGTCGTTGTATAAGCAATATTGGGAGGTTGTTGATAGTTATCTTAAAGAAGGAATAGTTAAAATATCTCCTGATTTGTTAGGGGGCCCACCAGCGGCCGAGCGGTAAAGTCGCTGAACACTGGTAGTTCGGTCCGAGGTTCGAATCCCGCGAACGGGCTGGCTGCATGGGTGTTTTCGTGGTTTTCCCCATGTGTAACGTGTATACGAGCCAGTTTCCCTTAGAAAGTCCTCCACGAAGGCATCCCTCCTCTTAGGCAGATTGCCCTCGAAGCTTTGCCATAATCACACACACACACCTGATTTGTTAGGGGATGAATTATCATTTTACTTACCCTACCAAGCTGTTATTCGAGAAGACAAAGCCTGCGAATTGTATTTGATGGTGCAGATCGGGGAGAAGGAGAACTTTCACTAAATGAGTGTCTCCACACTGCTGCGAACTTGTATCCTAATTTATTTGAACTGCTATTAAAATTTAAACAAAATTCTATAGCTTATACATCGGACATACAGCAAGTCTTCCTGCAAATTCAAATTGACCCAGAAGATCGTCGGTATACTAAATTTTTCTGGATTAATGATCTAAGTTCAAGCGAATTTATTGTAGTGAATTTTACCCGTGTTTTGTTTCGACTTGCATCAAGTCCTTACCTACTGGCAGCCACACTGAAATTTCATTTTGAAAACTATCGAAATTTATATCCTGAAACCTGTGAATTGCTACTAAATTTTTTCTGGGTTGACGATTTTGTTGCTGGAGCTGACGAAGTAGAGACAGCTCTGAAAACCAGCATCGAAAGCTCCGAAATTCTTAAGAATGCTGGAATGGTGCTAAGAAAATGGCAGGCGAATTCTGTCGAACTTACAACCTATGGAAGAGAGATGGTATAGAAACTATTGATACCGAGGAAGCCATCACTGGATACCGAGGAAGCCAGGCGCGTAAAGATGGCTTCCCCGCAAAGCAGGTTTAGGGTTGCCCTAAAATAACAAGGTAATGCAGGGTTGCCATATTTGGCGATGTTTGGCGACAAAACTGGCGATATATCATGGACGGTTGGAAAACCTTCTGGAAAGAATTCTTACCGGTTTAGCCCAGAATGTTCTCGAACACAAGCGGAAAGCTATATAAACCCTGCTGGGCCGCAGTCAGTTTAGTGTGTGCCTCGTCTAGCGGGCTGATAGTCAGTCATTGAGCGAGTGTCTCGAAGTCTAGCGCTGAGTTGGTCGTCGAGTGCATCGAGGAGTCTCTTAGTGTACCGCGGTTAGTGCATCGTCGAGAGAGCGTGTTGAGCTCCGGGAA